AGGTTTGCTCTTGGCAGGAAACATGTGCTAACAAAGGATGGGCCAGAAAAATAGGAGTCCTTTCTCTGGCTTTATTCTACTGGGTTTCTCTGACAGGCCTCAGCTGGAGCTGGTCCTTTTTGTGGGTCTTTGGGTCTTCTGTGTCTTCACCCTGCTGGGGAATACAACCTTCACTGTGTCGTCCCACCTGCACCCACGTCTTCTCACCCCGTGTGATTGTCCCTCCCCGCTTTTCTGGACCTATGCTACATACTGTCCTACAGCTCCTGGCTGATCTCAGAGGGGAGAGAGAAATCCAGCTCCTAAGGCAGTTGCCATCTGGCTTGGGACCTACAGAAAACATTCCTTAGAAGGTATGGCACAGACCACCATGCAGCTGCGTGCAGGCCCCTCTGCCACCATCACGCACCCATCTCTGTGCTCTGGTGGCTTCTGCTTCGTGCCTCACTGCTTCTACCAACCCCTTATCAAGGCAGTGCTCATCTTCCTTTACCACTGCGTGTGAGAAATAAATCCGACCACTTCCTCTGCGAGGTCCCTCTGCGGCTCACCCTTGCCTGTGCTGACACCGCTCTGAAGGAATCTGAGTTCTGTGTCAGTGTCATCGTTTCTTCTCACCCCTGGGGCATGAGTCAGGTTCTCCTACAGTCAGACAGGGCAGTCTGACGAATAAAGTCAGCAGAGGGCAGAGCAGAGCGCTTGGGACGTGCAGATCCCGCCCATGGCTGTGGCACAGACATCTGTGCCTACTTGCTGCCTCTCAGCAACTCCTCTCAGCATCAGGCCAAGTTCATGTTGCTCTTCTACACCATCGTTACACCATGACCAACCTCTCGCCCACACGGGGCGGAAGAAGGGTGTGAAGCGTGCTTTGGAAGGGCTGTGGCTCAGATGACAGGGAGGGGTGACATGTCCATGGAAAGACGCTGGGTGTCAGAAGCCTGCAGGTACATGTGTGCTCCCTGTGCCACCCAATGTCCCCACAACTCTCAAGGGAACTTCTCTACCTGATTCTCTTGGGAAAAAGTCACCAAAATCTAAGTTCATAGATTCAGCCCAAACTCTAGAGAGGCTGATTCAGTGTTCCTAGAGAATTTCACTATTATGCCAAGTTTGTATAATTCCATAGAGTTTTCATATTTGCACCCCCATATGGGAACATTATTCCATTTCTGCTACAGACATTTAAGTAGATACAGCCATAATAGGAACTTGAAACTACTGAAACACCGTAAAGATTACTGACAGTCTAGCCTTTTCTAGAAACTGCTAGAGGGATATCACTTATTCTTGTATTTTGATCAGTGTGCCACAACACCTGCCCCTGCTTCAGTGTATTGAAAGGGAGCATCTTGGCCATTTTTATCATGAAAACCTGCCCAGATTCCCTCTCTGTTTTGGAAGGAGCATCCTTATGCTGCTCAGGGAATAAAGAATATTTCTCACCCAATTCCTCCACAGCATATCCCATTCAGGTTTCTATTTGGTCTGAAATATCTGGTCTATTAATATGTTTTCATGTGAACACATGAAGTCCACATGCAGCCTTATTGGTCAGTCTCTCAACTCTCTAAAGATGAGTAGTCAAGGAAAATAGTTTCCTTTAACTTTGTAGTACTTTGAAGTTATAGGCTTACAAATGATGCCATTCCAATCTTTTCTGAAATAAATACAAAATGTACACAAGTGAAAACCATACCATAGTGTCTTCCTACAAGCCACACTGAAAAGAGAGTATAGCTTGCCTGGAGGTGATAGAAAAAACTGCAACTAATAGAATCCTGCACCACTAAAAATTTCCAAGGGACAAAGTATAGCCATAGTGCCATTCTTTCAGGCCCTGGGTTGGAATCTGGATCACAGGGTGGGGTGGTATTTGTACACAGAATAATTCAAGAATTCTCTCATTTAGCAACTGTGTGTTTAGAGATCTCTGCTTCAAATAGCAGAAAAGGAAAGGGAGAAAGAGTGGGGTGAAAGAAATGAATTGCATCTTTTTTTTGTTTTGTTTTGTTTGTTTTAAGGAGATATCATCTGGTATCTGTAGACCTTTTAAAACGTGGTCGTGAGCGAGTAACTAACCCCACGCCATCGTCAGGCAGACTCCGGCCGGTGCCTCCAGACCGCGATCCAGCAGCCCCAGAGACCTACCCTGCAGCCCTGTGGACCGAGTCCCAGTCTCCAGTTGCTGTCTATGGGCTCTGGTTGCTGTGGAACCCTGTGCTGGTCGGTCCCAGCCTGCTAAATGCTGCAGGTCACAGGAAAGCAGTTTTTCTGTTTCTCCCCTTCCTGTCACAGAACTGTTCACTTCTAAAGCTGAAGGAAAAAAATTAAAGTCCTGCTGTCCTTTGCGGAGAATCCACAGCGCGGCACCTCCCTGGTTGCCGCTGGTCCCGCTGGTCAGCTCCCGGCCTGTCTCGGCCTGCAAGCCTCACTGTCTCCTCGCTGGCAGCACATGCCGTGCACGCCTGGGGGCTTGTGTCCATTCACGATCGCCGCGGAGAGCGTCCACAGGGAGAAGGGGTCCCTTCCACGTCTGTCCTCTCAGTCCTCTGATGAAGACTGCGGTTCCCTCATGAGAGCCTTCATCCTTTTAACAAGCATTTTTCCAACTTTCCCTTCCGCCTGATCACTGCTGTTTTGATTTATTTATTTATTTATTTATTTTTGACAGGTAGAGTTAGACAGTGAGAGAGAGAGACAAAGAAAATGGTCTTCCTTCCATTGGTTCACCCCCCAAGTGGCTGCTACAGCTGGCGCGCTGCGCTGATCCGAAGCCAGGAGCCAGGAGCCATGTGGGTGCAGGGCCCAAGCACTTGGGTCATCCTCCACTGCACTCCCGGGCCACAGCAGAGAGCTGGACTGGAAGAGGAGCAACTGGGACTAGAACCCGGGGTGCCAGCGCCGCAGGCAGAGGATTAGCCTAGTGAGCCACGGAGCCAGCCCGATCACTGCTGTTTGAAAGCCTGAGCTGCTCACTTCAGGCTGGAAGTCACCTGCCCTCCCCTCCGTTGTCAGCTCCCTGCCCACCAGTGACATCATCCCCAACACCTCATCTGGTTGTTTCTGATCTGTCAGGCGCGGAACACCATGAACCACCAGGGAGAGCTCCCTCTTTCCTGGGTTAGGACAGAGTTGGGTGAGGCTGGCTGGGGAGCCAGCTCCAGGCTGCTGGGTTGTTCCCTCCTATTCCTAAGGTGCAGGCCTCCTGGGATGTTGGCAGAAGTCTGAGAAGTGTCATGTTCTCAGCCCTGGAAGATTCTGCGGGACTAAATTCTGCCCTGCAAAGACGTTCATCTTGGCTGTTAGTCTCCTGCTCCACGTAAACATCTAACTGGGGAAAACTGTGTGATAGACAGGACCCCTTTCTCTAGGGAGGTTTTTATTCCCAAGCACAACGAAACTAGGAGGCTTCATTCTCTCTCCTCCCCCTTCATTCTCTCTCCTCACAGCCTGAGAACTCAGCAGATGTCCACTGGGAACACCTGGCCATGTACTGATGGCTCCATCCAGCCTGTCCTCTAGCACATGTGACTGTCAGTCCGGTTTCTTTTGCTCCTGACAAAAGCCAAGCAAGTGCAATCCTCAGCTTGCACTTGGGCTGAGCAGGTTTGGAGCAAGAATGAAAATGTCCAGGTTGTTTTTTTTTTTTTTTTTTTTTTTACTTCCAAACACAACCACCTGACTTCAGTCCTGTATCTAGGGTTTGCTCCTATCTGCATTTTGAAGTATCCACAGGGGGTCTGGGAATGCACCTCCCCGCCCCCGTGGATAAAGGGAGACTGCTGTGTGAAAATTTTCTGTCACAAAAATGATAAGATTACTAATTAAGTTAGTTGTTATGGATTTAAAGAAAAGTCCAGGAGCCAACGCTGTGGCGTAGTGGGTAAAGCCACTGCCTGTAGTGCCGGCATCCCATATGGGTGTCAGTTTGAATTCCGGATGCTCCACTTCCAATCTAGCTCTCTGCTATGGACTGGAGAAGCAGTACAAGATGGCCCAAGTCCTTAGGTCCCTGCACCTGTGTTGGAGACACGGTAGAAGCTCCTGGCTTTGGATCGGCGCAGCTCCACGTGTTGAGGCCATTTGGCGAGTGAACCAGCAGATAGAAGACCTCTCTTTCTTTCTCCTCTCTGTCTCTCCTCTCTCTGTGTAACTCTGATTTTCAAAGAAATAAATCTTAAAAATAAATAAATAAATAAATAAAAAGAAGGGCCGGTGCCATGGCTCACTTGGTTAATCCTCCGCCTATGGCGCCGGCATCCCATATGAGCACCGGGTTCTAGTCCTGGTTGCTCCTCTTCCAGTCCAGCTCTCTGCTGTGGCCCGGGAAGGCAGTGGAGGATGGCCCAAGTGCTTGGGCCCCTGCACCCGCATGGGAGACCAGGAGAAGCACCTGGCTCCTGCCTTCGGATCAGCATGGTGCACCGGCCGTGGCGGCCATTGGAGGGTGAACCAATGGCAAAAGGAAGACCTTTCTCTCTGTCTGTCTCTCTCTCTCACTGTCCACTCTGCCTGTCAAAAAAATTTTTTAAAAAGTTATCATTCTAATTTTTGCCTCAAAAACAGGCCACTAAATAGCTACATGGAAATAAGAAGAGACTATAAGAATCATTATAGAAATAACCTTTGATTGGGATTTTTAAATGAAATTTAAGGAGGGTTCATTCTGGTCTGGCTAAACATTCTAATATCAAAAGCATCTTAGCATCTAGCTGTTCAGTTCAATGTACAGAAGTAACTTAGATCACCTAGAATGTAAACTCAAACATTGTGTGAAAGGAAAACAAAACACCTAATGTGATTATCAAGTGTCATAGTATTCCATTAATTTCTGGCTTATTCAACAACTGTTTACGTGTAAATGATGCTGAAGTAGAACACACACACAGACACTGCAGGAAAGTGGTTTGATTCTTTTCCACAAACTGCATCCCCCATAGAATCAGAAATCAGCTCAAGAACCAGAGCAAGCTCCTCTCTCACTTCTCCTCCCCATCGCCAAGCTCTAGGGGAAAAACTCTTCTGATTTCCAACACCACAGATTAGTTTTACCTGGTTTTGTATTTTACGTAAAGGAAGCATAGTGAGGCCTGGTTTGTGCCTGGCTTCTTTGTCTCAACGTTGTGTTTGTGGGAAACGTCCATGTTGCTGTGTGTACTTATGACTTGCTTATTCTCATCATTGTGTGGCATTTTAATACATAACATGCCAAAATTAACCCTTTGCTGATCTTACTTATATTCTCTCCCTAAGAAGTCTTAGCTCCATGAGGACAGAGGTCCCTCTTTCTTTCCATCCTGATTTATATATCTCAAGTACATATATCATACCAGCATATAAACCAAGTATCCAAAACAGTGCCTAGTACATGGTGAGTGCTTCCAAAGGCTTGTGGAATTAAGTTAAAAATGGTCTTTGGGGCGCAAGCCCTGATTACTGACCCTTTCTTGAGTCTGGCATTCTCCCCACGAGTCTCCTTAGCGCCCCTTTGACCTCCTTGTTCCTCAGAGTGTAAATCAGCGGATTCAGCAGAGGCGTCACCAGGGTATAGAACAGTGCAATGCTTTTGTTCACATCCTGTGAATAACTAGAGGGAGGCTGGAGGTACATGGAGATGAGTGTTCCAAAGAAAATGACCACCACCAGCAGGTGAGAGCCACAGGTCCCAAAAGCCTTGCGCCTCCCCTGGGCTGACTTCATCTTCAGGACTGCACGAGCAATGTGGCCGTAGGACACCAAGATGAGTGACAGGGGCACCACCAAGAAGACGACGCTGACGGCAAAGAGTTCAGCCTCGTTGATGGCAGTGTCGGTGCAGGCCAGTTTCAGCATCACCGGAACCTCACAGAAGAAGTGGTCCACTTGGTTCCTACCACAGAGTGGAAGAGTCATGGTCAGTGCCGTCTGCACCACAGAATTGCCGAAACCCGTAAGCCAAGCAGTCACAACCAGCTGCAAGCAAAGCTGGGGATGCACGATCACCAGGTAGTGGAGAGGGCGGCAGACGGCTGCATAGCGGTCATACGCCATGACCGACAAGAGCACGCACTCGACTCCCCCAAGGCCCAGGGCAATGAAGAGCTGGGTCACGCAGCCACCGTAGGTGATGGTCTTGTCCCTCCCCCTGAAGTTGACCAGGGTCTGCGGGACAGTGCAAGTAGTCAAACAAAGATCCATGAAAGAGAGATTGGACAGGAAGAAATACATAGGGGTGTGAAGGCGAGCATCCACAATCGACAGGATGATGATGGTGCTGTTGCCTAGAACACTCAAGAAGTAGACCACCAGGATGGCCACAAAGAGGGCTGTCTCCAGCTGGGGTCTGTTGGAGAAGCCCAGGAGAATGAATCCAGAGAAGGTGCTGCCATTAGCTCTTTCCATTGCACTCTACCTGTGGGATGAAGAGGCCTCTTAACTCTTACCTTGCATGTCTAATGCACGTCCTGTTCCCTAGTGTGGGCAAACACAGCTTGGGTGTGTTAGCCACTTCCTCACTGGCAAGATGGGGGTGGTAAAGAGCCACTGTATATGAGTGTCTTCCATGGCCTAAGCACTTCCTTGCATTTTCTCACAGCTCTCTGAGACTGGCGCCATCTTATCTGTGTTGAAAACCTGAGAGAACTAAGGGTGAGTGCTTTTTCTAGGGTGGTTCCCCAGTAAATGGCAGAAACAGACTCGATGGCACGGCTTCTTCACTGCTAGGAGCCTGCCTTTCCAAGATTTATTGGCTTTAAAGATAACATGTGTTTCTCCAAAAATTAAATCTAATTTTCCAGGGTAAGTCGCAATTTGCTGCTATATGGATCCCTCTACTTTGGTGTTTGATCAAGAATTGAAATAGTTCAGACTCCTGTTTTATGCAGAGAAAAAAATGTTTTCTGAAGGTGCTTAGTACAGAAAATTTATCCTTTACTATTTTATTCCAGGAGGACTAATACGTTTTCATACACAAGCCAATCTATGGATACCGGAGCCTGAAACAAGTTTTTTGATTGGAAACTTTCTATTGGGAATGATTTTAGAATTCACCGTATCCAAACCTTACATTCCAAGAGGACCATCCCTGAATAATCGTCATTGGTACCATTCTCAGCAGTTCTCAGAATGGGCACCGTCAGTCCAATAACCAACCTTTCCTTTTCACTCACTTTGTAACTTTTTCATTTCTTCAATGTAGGGCAATTTATTTTTCAACTTGTCGCTCTACACTTCCTAAAATCCAATCTCACAAAAATAATTATCTTTTCTATTAAAATCACTGGGCTTGTTCTTAGATCTCTCTCCCTCTCCCTCTCTGTCTCTCTCTAACACACCATGAGGCAAGTTTAATAGCAAATAATAATTGAACAAGAGTAATGTCTTATAATATCACCATATCTTGAACAAGAGTAACATCTTGTAATGTCACCATAAAACAGTCTGGCATAGGCTCACAAAAAAATTGTTGGATAAATAAAAATATAGAAAGAACTTAAAAACTGTAATAGGTGATAGATAATAAATTTAGGGGTTATGGAATGTGTAACTGTACAAGGGAAAAACAAATGAACATTCTGAAAAAACAGCTATAAAGAGCTATATTTTCTTCCAAAAAAAGAAAACTTTAGCTACTTAAAAATTGTGCACTGTTTGGGAAGAGGTAGTTTAATCTCAGCTTCCTCCCACATATACAAGAACTGTAGGTAATAAGCAGTTGTAAATATCCAAACTTTCAGTTGCTTTCTAATACTGTGATAAATGCTTACATCCAGGGCTCTTGCTAATTTTTGTAATCATCACTTTCATATTAACAAAATCCATGACCAGGCAAGATGATGTTTTTCCTTCTTTGTATGTCTTTCCTGTTGGATGCTTAATGTTCCTTATTCTTTATAATTCTAAATGCTTTCACTATTGCTTCAGTGACAATTGTTCCTGTGGTATCAAAGAATTCAATTAATTTGGAATTATAAGTTCTAATATGCAATAAAATGAGAATCAAATTACTTATATTTTAAGAATAAATCTGCCTGAGATTTCAAAGTCTTCATCCACATCCCTACTTCCTAGCCATTTCTCCTTTCAAATGAAAGATTATGTATCAGCTTTTGGGTCCAACAGGTCTTACAGATCTGTTTCCATGTTTCAAGCAAGCACTTCTCAATCCCAGCACATTCTTCAGTGACAGCATGGTTCTTGATTTCTGTTTTGCCCATATCAACAGATCTTATTTTAAGATACTCAGAATGGTGGCTGGCGCTGTGGTGCAGTGGGTTAATGCCCTGGCCTGAAGTGCTGGCATCCCATATGGGTGCCCGTTCTAGTCCTGGCTGCTCCACTTCCCAGCCAGCTCTCTGCTATGGCCTGGGAAAGCAGTAGAAGATGGCCCAAGTCATTGGGCCCCTGCATCCGCATGGGAGACCCAGAAGAAGCTCCTAGCTCCCGGCTTCAGATCCGTGCAGCTTCGGCTGTTACGGCAATCTGGGGAGTGAACCAGCAGATGGAAGACCTCTCTCTCTCTGTCTTTATCTCTCTCTGTAACTCTTTCAAATAAATAAAATAAATCTTTTTTAAAAAAAGATACTCAGAATAAAACTGTCTTTATCAAATGATGTTGGTGCTTATCTTTGCTTCTTCCCTCTATCCTTGTGATTTATTTTATAGATTTGTTAAAATTAATTAAATGAATTAATTTTATTTATTTGAGAAGTGGGGGGTGAGGGGGAAAGAGAGAGAGAGAGAGAGAGAGCACGAGCTTCCATGCACTGGTCCACTGCCCAAATGCCCACAATTGTCAGGACTAGGTTGGGCCAAAAGCAGAAGCTGGGAACTCAATCCAAGTCTCCCACGTGGGTGGCAGGGACCCAGGTACTTAGCTGCACACTACCAGAAGCTAGAATCATGAGCGGAGTCAAACCTCGAGCCCAGGTCCTCCACAATGGACGTAGGCATTATAAGCTAAGTCTTTACTACACCAGACACCAGCCTTCTCCCATGCCTCAAGATCATAAAGGAGTTCTTCCAGCCCACCACTGGAATCTAGTTGCAGCCTTCTCTAATGTTTTAATCTGTTTCTCAGAGATCATTGAAATCCTTCAAAACATAATCTAGAACAGGTTTTTAAATGCATTTGTTCTTAGAATGTGATCTAGGCCAAGGAAAGCATACTCTGATGAGACACGTATATTTCATTATAACCACAAGAGTAGAATTAAATTAGCATAGGCTATTTTAGTACGATTGTTTCAGGTTTACTAGGTGTACTATAATAAAGTATCAAAATCTGGCGGCTCAAGACAGCAGAAATGTATTGTCTCACAGTTCCGGAGGCCAGAAGTCCAAAATCAAGGTGCTGGCAGGGTCAGGCTGCCTCTGAGGCCTGCAGAGAAGAATCCTCCCTTGTCTGTTCCTAGTGACAATCCTAGGCCGTCCTTGGTTTGCACCAGCAGCACCGAGGTCTCTGTCTCTGTAGCTACATGGTGCTAGCCTCTTGCATGTCTGTCGTTTCTGCATCTTCAGAAGGAAAGCAGGCATACAGGATTAGGGTCCACCCAAATTACCTCTGGCCTCAACTTGGCCTGATTACATACACAAATAAGGTCACACTCACAGACATGAGAAGGGATTTCAACATGTCTTTAGGGAGGACACAACTCAACCGTTAACAATAGTGTATCCTCATGTATACAGAGTTTTTAGATTTTACCTAAAATTTATTTTTCATATAAAAATAAAAGATACACTAAAAAAAAAATAGTGTATCCTAGTCATGCCCGCCACGTTGTGATTGCCGGCCACACATCAGCAAGCCTAAGAGGCAGATCGAAGTCCTCTCCTACTGGATGTCCATAGCACAGTACAGTGTGATCACGACAACTGGTTCGAGTACTGTCAACACTGCTTTCATTCCTCTTGTTCCTGTGGGCTAGCAGAAGTCTTCAGCAGGAGGAAAAGCTGACTCCTCCAACTCGGCAGGAATATCCCATGAGCATTTTCTCTAAGGCACATTTTTGTTACACTTTACTTTCTAAAACATCAATACCTAATGCACACTTATAAACCTGGGTTTGAACGGAAAATAAAGACTTAATATCCTCTCAGTTCTCTGGTTCAGGAGTTCTCACCAATCGAGAATTCAGATTCCTCTTCCATTCTAGAACTTACTGTCCTAACAAACTCACATAGAGGTACCAGTTCCACGGGCAGCGAGACCACTTTTTTGAGTCTAAAGAATCAGGAGCAAAAGAACAACCTCAGGGAACTGAATGGATGCTGGGTTGGAATGACTTCTTCCCCCAGAGAATAATAAAAACCACAGACATCCAACTGTCTTCTGCAAGAAGCAAGATGGTCTTTGAGGGGCCTCTATAGTTCCATGACACCAGATGCCCAGCATGTCGATGAGAAGGCTGCTACCAGGCAGATGAACCCACAAGCGTGCTGGCCCCTACATGTGACACATTCAGTGATGAGCAAGAGGTGATCTGGTCACAGAACTGGAGAAGGGAGCTGGGGGCTGAATTAGGTAGAACAGAATCCCTGGGATAAATACAAATCCATACACTGAAAGTAAGCTTTAAATATGCCACCCTCGCAACCCTAATATCCTTCAAAGTCACAGCAATCAAGACAAGGAAAGTGAAAACTGCTACTCACTCAGGCCCTGCTGAAAGTGATGACAACTGCTTTCAGATGTACTGTGAGTGTCATGCGCGTCACCCCGGCTTTTCCCAGAAAGACTGTCCATTCACTGCCCAGACCTTTAAGTGTGGAAGAGGCAGTGTAAGTGAGGACAATCGACTACGACTGAACAGAAGATGAATCTGTGAAGCCGACGGACTCTGCCCATGAATGCAAGGGCAAATGTTACAGCTAATGGATATTTTTATAATCCACAAAAATCAAGACACATGCTTTAGGGACTGGGATGCTTGATGACGTGTTTATTTTTAGTAGCCCCAGGAGTGTCCTGCCCCATGTAACTCATTAGGCTCAGTTCAGGTATCCAGAGTTTGGCCCCCCTGGGGAGCAGCCAAGAGGAAGGTTCTGGAGAGGCAGCATCGACAATCTTTGCCTGCCTGACTCACTAATAGTGAGCTTGTTCTCTCACTTCCATTTCCCGTGTATGCTGGTACTGATTCAATTTTTTGGTCCAATTTTAAATTCTTCATCCTTATTTTCAGAAATATAACTTCTTCCTACTTAAAACAAGGCCATTAAGCATAATTTTCAATGCCTTTTATTGTTGTTATCATTTTGTGCTTACACTACTATTGACTCACTTAAAAAAAATGCTAAGTTCCAAAGGTGCTATGGACTCTACTACCCTATAACTTTTTTGAGACTTGGCACTCAGTCACACCTGACTTTTCCATCTTCAGATTTTATATCCCATCAGCTCTTTAGACATAGCTGACAAATATGTTCCAGTACATTTTATCAGAAAGATGAAAACAGAATGAAACCTCCCTGCCCTTCAGTCTCTTCTAGCTCTCTCCCTCCATTGGTTTACCATTTTTGATAAGACACAAAAATCCATGGTTTTTTTGGTCCCATTAAAACTTCCAAATACTGTTATTTGCCTTCTTCCCCCAGCACTCAGATGGCGGGGAGTCGGCAAGCCTCACTTGCAATCTCCAATATCCTTCCCATCACACAAGTAGATGAGCTAGCCATCATGTCACTTGATGTGATTTGACACTGATGATTTCCCCTCTTCAAGAAATTATTTACTGGTCTCTCTCTCTCTCTCTCGTTATTCTTTGGACTCCAGAGTCTCATTTTTCCTTCCTGCTGGACACAGGTTTCAGTGTTCAGATTTCCCCGAGCTGCATCCTTGTCTCTTCTTTCTCCACACTGTCACTGGGTTACTTTGCATTTCCATGGCTCCTACTACCATCTATCTGTTCTTTGACAGATCTTCGATTCATACCTACAATTAAGACTTTTTTGAGTTACAGCCTAAGTCAATGGAATCTTGGCCAAACACATGGATTATTTATGAATGCTAAAA